TGTCTGGTAAGTCTATTGTCTATTTGCAATATTGCTCCTGTTGTCTAATTAGATCAGCGAATTTGAAGTGGGTCACTGAAGGTACACATGATGATAAAGCATTTCGCATCTGGAGGATTACGTATGAGTATTCATGGATTTTGGAGTTGTGTATTTCGAATTCAGACCACATGATTTACTAACAAACTAATAACCAACGTTTTATCGAAGTTGAACTGCCAGTGCATCATTGGTGAAGTAGTACTTTTGAGTAAACGTTCAGTAACCATTTGAGTTTCAACTAATAAATAATAAAATTTGTAACGGCAAAAGAAGTTACGTACAGATGAAGGTAACAGTTCGCATATCTGCACCATCTCAGTCGGCTTTTGGGGGCTTAAAAAATACATACCAGGGGATTAATCACCTTCTGGTTGAAGTTAGTAACGATGGGCATCAAAGTGTGTACAGGTGGTGATCAAAACTGTGGAATATCACGGTCATTTTGGAAATACATTTCGGTGTTACTTTGAATGAAGCCGTCGGATATCCGTCCGAAATATCTTCGACAGGGACCAAATTAATGTATCCATTCTCTGTGTTTAGTTTTACCTCGTGCTCATTGAAACTCAATAAAAATTCAGACAAACATTTCTTGCCGAGCTCCTCAAACATTTGAGTGTTGTAAAGCAAGAAGGTATTGCATGATAACCACACAAGTAAGATTAAATGAATCTCACTTTCGTTGAAATCGCTAAACACCAAGCAACACTCTTATTTCCCTTATATCTTAGAATCAGAGAGATATAATAATAGTTAATTTATATATATTAAGTGAGTACATGGCTTTTTTTGCAACTTTGATAGAACAAAAGTCTTTGTTGAAAGTATGTTTCTGCTTCAAATCTATTTGAGTAATACTTCACGGTTATGAAAAGGAATTTGGAAAAATCTGAACTACTGTGTTGTGAATAAATAATGTAAAAAATCAGCGAACAAATGAGCATAAAAAATGGATATTTGTTTACCAAACTGTGCAAACACCTATCACTGGTACCAGTGCATTTTTGGTATTTTATCACAAAAGAGGTTGACTTCCCCGAGGAGCCACCGTTACCATTTGAAGGTTCATCCTAGCTTGAAATAGACGTACAAAATGAGTCGAAGTTCTCTAGGGTCGGAAATGACTTTTACCATCAGAAATTAGTGTCGAATGCGATTAGTGAGACGCCTTGTGGGTATGATTTGCTCATGGTCCCTCAAAAGGCTCCCCCCCCCCACACACACCACATTTATGCGCTTAAGTTTATCGGAATGCCTTGTTTTTGGTCGAACCATAGTGAATCAGCCTCCGTTATAATTCAATTTATCTGAATGCATGTTTCCTTTGCGGTAATCCGATCGAACCTTACGCTTTTGACCTCTACATCTGTGATAAGTGAAAGTTAAGTTTGGGTTTATCATCTAATTTCTCCATCTGATTTTATTTTGTCATAATATAAAACCCCGATTAAGTAATCTGATGTCGTTTTGATGTTTATGAAACGTGAACAAACTTCTCCTGATTTCCATATAAAGTTAACTCGAACGAAACCGTATGGTTACAAGGAATCGGTATCATTCAGTTAGGTATAAGTTAACCGTTATTCTATTTATTGTTCGTTTTCGAGTGACGCAGCCTTCCGCCTGCTTTCACATGGAATAAAACACTTAGATCGTGTGGAATCAAGTCAGTCGGAAAAGCAATGTTGCTTGATCATTTTTTTCTAAAGCCAAATTGTGTTTGTCTTATTCTTTGAATCCATTTTGATTCAGCCATGCGCACTGTTGTCTAGTTCATTTTCTGTCCACTAAGCTTTAATCTATCTCAAGAGGCGGGGTAAAGAATTTTAGAAAATGTTGGATGAATAAAGCCAGACTTATCCATGAATATTGGTGACTAGAACGGACAAAATGGGTGATGTGAATAGTGGAATACTTTATTCTCGAAGTACTGCTACTGATGACGTTGTGTTTGTGGCATGGATTCTCATGCTTATGTAAAATCCTCTGTTAGGCTCTTGAGATTTGGAATATCCACCTTCATGATTCCTCTGTCCTTGAAATTCCACATCCATTTGATCAAATGACACAGACAGGCAATTTGACCAAGAGCTTAAGGTGATTTATAGGCATATTGCATACCCATGCACAATTTAGGAGCACCTTGGTCTAGTAATGTTCCATAAGAGACCCATATTACCATACTGAACATCTAACAAACCAGCTGCCTGTTTATAACCATTTATAGCTTGGTCATAGCAACACCTGTTCAAGAAAATCTGATCTATTTTATCGGTGATTTTTCACCTTCGGTATTCCAGTTTACGGTCGATTTCTTGGAGAAAACGGTGAGTCCGGCGTCCCAGTTTTTTATTTGCATTCAACATCCTGACAGTCCGGTGCCTTGGATTCTTAGATCCACACATTCCCAGGTATCATCGACGTCAACTGGCATAATCAGCGGTGAGATTAGCTTCAGATCTGTGTATGGTCTAAGGATTTGGGGAATGTCATTTGTGGTTCCAGTTTTTTGTTATCTTCAACGTCTTTCTAAATAACTGATGGGAGTTCCTCCAATTGACCGAATGACTAGATCATACAGCAATCGATGCTTCTTTTAACACTGCAAAGAATTTTAGCAACTCCACGGAATAGGCGTAAATCTACATTCGGAGGTGAGAATGAGATGTTGCGTAGTACGTATTTTCCTTACTCCCGACATTTTTTCTTTTAATTAATTCATGTTACGTACAAATGCAACTGTTTTTCAGGACGCTGTTCCATCTACATTCTTCTCTTTTTATGATTAGTATCAAGCCTTCTGAGGAACTTCATAGCATGCAGATACGCTGATGCAAAATTAATCGGTTTTCCTTATCCGGGTACTAATTGCCGCGACATCCGCAGGATGGACTCAAAGATATTTTCAGCCATTATTTTCCCCGCTCTCTTCTATTGATTGTCAACAATTGTGACGATGTCCTATCTACTTTGAAACTCGATTTCCAGTTTTATTCTTTAATTTTTAATCCTTCTTATGTTATCGTCGGTAATTGAAACTTACTCAAGACCGATGAGGGCTAATACCGAGAGATTATTTAGTCTGATACTCATTTATACTGAAAATACTAATTTAGGAGATCGAAACCTTTTTTACCCATTGGGAATAAAGAATTCAACTGTCCCTCAAAGCTCTACCTTTATATTGGTGACCATGCTCACATTCCACCCGGACGTGACTTGTTTCGAGTTGGCAAGCAGATCAAGCCCTCGATCTAAAAGATATTCTTTTGACCGACCGGCATTTTAAAAAGTTTCTAATATGCCATTCACTTTGGTGATCAATTCTGTGAGTTAGTAATGCGTTATCAAACTCTATACTTGTTGAATGAATCCTGGAATGATTGCACTAACTTGGATACTGAGCACACCAGCTTTAAACATTTTGTTCATCATCTACGATTCTTTGTTCAAATTACCACCGTTGAAAGCGGTGAATCTTTACATCCCGCTTATATTTTATGATTTCCTCGTTTAGCCGTTCTTTATATAGTATGAGAATCAGGTGCGAATTATCGTCTACGATGCTTTTCATTCCATCTGGGAAAGATGAACCCTTATAATTATTTTTACCGTTGGTAAAAAAGACCCGCATCTTGTGCTCAGGTATTTAATCCTTGCCCTTTAACAAATCCGACTTATAAAAAAGACATGCTCATGGAATTTTGTTTTTATTTGTATCTATATTAGCTGAACAGATTATCGTCAAGTAATAATCCTCAAATACCTCTTACATTTTTCCAATTATTTTTATACCTGAATAAACTCTTCCAAAACATCCGTTTTGTTCCTCAATAAAAAAACGTCACAATTTTACGGGATTTACCCCCAGCAGACATACGCAAGTCGTGAAATGAGATTTTTAACACAAAGCCATCTTGCAATTGACCGCTTCTAGCTTTAGGTTTTACGTCCACGTAATATTTTTGTTCTCAGAGTACTTCTTCCTAAGAAAAGAATATCATCATTATGTTATTTCGAGTTTCCCTTTTAATAAAGCCTCTGGCATGCGTAACTGATGATTTCAGATGACCAGAAGATGACTTAGTCGATCATATCACCAAATGTATGTGTATGTTCTTACTCGTGTCTCCAGCTGCGCAGTAATCAGACCAACATGCACTCTCAGCATCGTTTGATTCTTCCACCGGTCTAACATTTGACTTGCAAACCTTATTGCTGTCCCAATTCTTTGCATACCAGTCATCTGCATCGTTCACCTGGAGATGATTTCGTTCCGCCGATGTCCCGAATTCCCTTCGGTGGAAAGCCAATGTGGCGGCTGCCGCAGCTGCAGCCGCCGCCGCGTGTACTTTCTCATTCCAAAAGGGATTCCAACTTGGTGTGCCATAGGTCGTCGAATCTGGCGGTGGAGGAAACCAGATCGGATGATGATCAGCTGCTCCAATTCGACCGGTTAATCCATCACTCCATGGAATCGTTCCATCCATGGATCTGTGGTATACATCACAGTAATTGGTCATGAGATCCTGGGACTGACGGCAGTATGACACGTGGTGCGCATACATGGGCATTCCGTAGAGATCATTGAACATGGTTGCATAGGAATTGGAACGTGGTGCATTTGATTTGTCGTTGACATCTAGGTAACAGTTGAAAACAATGGAACTGAACGAAACTTATATGAGAATAAGCATCTTTGATGCATAGGGCAGTCCAATAAATCATAATTCACTTAACTTACATCACAGGTTAACCTATAGAACTATTGGCTCAAGAGATTGATTTCCCTAAGTAGCAAAATGCTGCTGTAAAAAATTAAACTTTCACTACCTTCAAAGTAACAGATGAGCAAATTTCATCTGTAATATCACTCCAGTTCCTTGAATTTGACCGTAGAAACTATTATGCAAAATTGTGTGAAACACTGATCCGTCAATGTAGATTATTTCCCATATAATATAAATAACTAAAAACAGAAAAGGGAAATCCCATTCTACTTGAATAGATCACGCACAATTGGGTCCTACCACCTAGAACTGTGGTCATTATTCACAAGATGCCCGCGATTGCAATCGGACGACTTCCCTCTTCTGAATGGTCCAGAGTTGACCTTTATTGAATATTATGAACTATCTTCCTCGCATATCAGTTTACCTTCACTCGTGCGCAGGAAGAATCTGGTCGTCGAGATTCTCATCGTTTCTGTTTAGAATGTAGGCAATATGTTATCCGGATATTTTAAAACATATTCAGTTCTTGCTACTTTGGTCACAGACTTAGACGATTAGATAGATTTATGCGTGGTTAACTCCAATGAAACTAGGATGTAAAAAATCAATGAAAGAACTGACTGAAGGAAAGGATTCTCATTAATTATTGATTCTTGAGTTTCTCTATATGGGAAAAGCATGACAAAACCCTAGGCATAGTAGTGAACAATAAACAATTGATGCTTATTTGATAAGGAAAGGATCTGGGGAGCGTTGAATACGTAAGACAAATGGGGTCGATTACGCAGCAAACGTTTTACGTAAACTCTCGGTACCGAGTTGACCTCCGATTGATTAATACGGTGGGTTATCGTAAAAGTCTAAAGACTCCGTTTATTTTAAGTGTTATTCTGCCCTTATCAAATCTATAGTTAATCGCTTATCCGTGTGCTTCTGCAATATAACAATAATTAAAGCGTATGACAGTGTCAAATTGTTTTGTGAGATCAAATTCAAAACTACGAATTTAAAAAACCGATTTGTAAAGCGCCAGCGAAGTATTTATCCACCCATCGAACGAAATTTTCCTAGCGTTTGCTGTGGGTAATGCCGCGTAGATAGAGGTTGTTTCGAAAGGAGAAATTTGCAAGCTTCTACGTTCCGTGAAAGCCACGTATAGTGTTGCTCCCATGGACGTTAATCTTCTCTTTTAAGATGTAGAGTCTATACTTTTAGTGAAATATATGCGTCATTCTTATACACTTTCCTAAACACATGTTCCATCGCAAACAACTGAAGACCGGTAATAACTGTTTTTATTCCCAAATTCTCTAATCCACTGTTCTAACAAAACGCTGCCGCACGATCGTTCAACTTTTGTTCGTCCTAAAACAGCAGAACATTACGCTCATTTGGTCCAGTGTGACCCTCTTCAGTTTGCATACAAAAACAAAAAGGTGCATGTTAGATGCAGTTCCCTAACGTGTCTATAAAATTCAATAGTATTTGAGTGACACTGTTAAATTTGTACGTTGTAAATTCCAGGACTAATCATCTACGTTTGATTCTATTCCTCGCTCTCCCTTTTTCTCGTAAACTGAAGGGCCTTGAGTTGTCCAAAGCATTTATCAAACTGATTTTTGATTACTTTTCTGG